ACTCGCAGATATCTCTTGAACTCTGCAAGCACACCATCTACCGTGTCTCCCTCACGCCATGAGCGCGTTATCAACAATTTCCAAGCTTGCCCTGTCTTCAAAGAGTAGGCTTGCCCTAAACGTCGTACCACATGCGTATAGACCCTGTCACTCTCGACCACGTCGTCCACTTCATCTAGAGCTTGCCGAGCGACATCTTTTGCGGCACCCTTCATGAACAGGACCAAGTACTGCGCCTTCTGGCGTGGACTCCACTTAGAAGCATCACCAACAGTGTCAAACTCCCTCAGCCATAGAGCAAAGTCACTATCGCCTTTGAAGGGCTCCAGAACTGATTCAAGTTTAAACGGCATGTGTTCTTGTACGGAATGAGAGTCCTGGGTCTGGGCACCAGATGTTGAGAACCGTCAGACAGACCCGACTCTGAACTCGACAGGGGGAAGGGGAAAAGCCGAAAGCTTAACTTAACTCTCGTTCCTCGAAAACCCTGCGCATGCGTATCGATCCGAGAATCGATATCCCACACAGAAGCTATACACCAGTCTCGTCCGCGCAACGAGAACAGCAAACAGTCCTGCGGCACACAACGAAAGGGACGTCACTATGAGTCATAGTCTATGACTAATAATGTGGCAACGAGCGATCCATTACAAGGTGGACCCCAAGAAGTTGAACCCTCTCCAATACGTGAAAGAAACTGTCGTCGTCATTGGTGATGAAAGAGTGTCGAAGTGGTATTGCCAGTTTGATGATGGTGAATGCAAGTTTGGAGGAGAGTGGGCTCGCAAACGGCTCGACAAGTTCAGGGATCACTTGACGAGTAAACATAGTTTGAAGCATCCCAACTGTGGCGATTCTGATGATGATACTCACGGAGCTCCTCGCAAAAGGGAGCGCAAGAGCCCTCACGAGAACCGAAGCAAGAGGAGCTGCTCATCACCCAAGAGACGTCAGGCGAAACTGACTCGATATATGGTGGCCTGTGCTCCGGAGGAGCGCGTGGAGGCCTTCCATAAAGCTTTAGTGGTGGGCTTGGTGAGATCTGGCGCGGTATGTTTCCTAAGGATGCTCGATCTTCCGTTGGTAAAGGAAGCAATCGACACTCTCAGCCCCGGCTATAGTCAAGCAGAAGTCTCCTTCAGTGATAGCGTCAATAAAGTTGTTGACGAGTATTGTGCCCGGGCTGTGCTAGAGCTTACATCTTTGGCGAAGTCCAACAACAACGAGATATCGCTGACTCTATACTCGTGGGGTTCGAATGAGCGGTCTATGGCCGGACTTTGTGGTGTGGTACTGGATCGGAGCACGGGAATCT